GGGGGGGGGGGCATAAAGCGAGAAAGAAAAGATTAACAAAGATGCCCCGAAATATGGCAATGAAACTGTGGAGAATATGGCACAAATATAATTCACTCTTAGTTAGGCATAAAATACCTGACTGCTAAAGCATCGTTATATTACGATAAAGCAGAAATAAGGTGTAGAAAACCTGTGCCAACACACACGAAGCCCATAACATACGGAAAAAGTGAACTTTGAAAATGAAACGTCCAAACTCCACTCAAGTCTCTAGATATAAGAAAGAAGAACAAAAAAACAAACAAAGAGAAAAACCCCAAACAACTACGTGTTTTCATTATGTATCCAAATAAGTCGCAAAAAGAGACACAAGCTTCAAAATACAGGCATTATCAGTCAGGGATAACACTAGCATAAGCATATTATTATTATACTCCCTATAAATGGAAAAGGTTGAAATTTCAACAACTGGTACTGGAATTTTATCAGTACTAGTAAACAACTATCACGTGGCCAAAGCAGTACCCCGACTGTTTGTCAAACGCATAAAAAATAACACTTATTTTTGAAAAGATAACGACTTTATCAAGGTTTATAAGATAACATGTGAAGACAATATGCAACTGAGCAGAAACAGTTAAGTAACAGATGTTTAATTTTAAAATGCCAACAGCTAATCAAGTTTTGACATCATGTGTTTTTCAAATTCACCTCAAATCTAGACATTTGGGGGTGAAGACATGAGGAATGGCAAATTCATCTTTCATCAATATAGTTCAAGTAAAGGCTTATATATTTTAGTACATATTTATTTATTTAAACTATTAGCAGCCTGTCATGATTATCCCTGTTAATAAATGCTCTTCACACATCAAACATCACTTTAAACTAACTACAATATCACTTTTTTCACACATTAGCCATTAGTGTACTCTCTATAATATTATTAATATAAACTCTATAAATATAGGAGCAAAACTGACTATGCCTCTTGATATGCACGTTGTCTATAAGCAAGTATGATACCTCTCCTGCGCAGTTACTTCTTGTAAGTCTAACATCTGCCCTAACATTTCCCAAGCCACTCTGTCACAAAAAAACAACCAGTTCATGATCAATTTCGTTGCTACAACATCAGATGTGAAAGAGAATCGGGAACCTAACTTCAAGCTGTTCAAACATGATGCAGAAAGTACTCATACAAAACAACATAACATGCTGATGACTGTGAAGGGCACAGACTCAGGTTAAATAAAGTGCAGAAAAAAATGAACCAGAGAAGGGTACAGACAATGCATGTGTGTAGGTATCTGCTTATATAAATATTGTACATCTAATATATGCACACATAATGATATATAATAGATATTAAGTGTGTGTGTGTGTGTGTGTGTGTGTGTGTGTGTGTGTGTGTGTGTGTGTGTGTGTGTGTGTGCGTGTGCGCGCGCGTATGCAAATCTAAACATTGTACATGTAATAGATATACACGTATTTAAGCCATCCTCAAAAGGTTGGCTTAAAAGCACAGCAACAACTTTGGGTACCAAGCTTTTTTGACTTTTTGCAATCCACAGTAAGTGTGTTTTTTTTTTAACTTTCAAGTTGACAAAATACTCCAAAAACTTGAACAAGAAAGTTGATTAACATAACTCCACTATTAGGAGTGACATGTTTGTCATGGTACAACATACAGGTAACAATGATACGGTTGCTTCATTATCTCTTAATGAAAATGCTACGCTAACAATCTTAACTCATGTTGGAATACATAAACATATTTACATACAAACCTTGTTGGGTTTTGGTTTTTGAGATCAACATAGGGGGTGTTTGAAGCACTAGATAAAAATACACACAAGGAGACATGAGTGTCCACAGGATAGTCACCACTAAATTTACTATACTTTCATAGCTTTAGTAGGTGGCATGTATAAAGGTGACATCATTTGATAATAACGTTCTCTTATGCTGAACCAGCCAATGAATGCCTATAATTGTCTTTCTACTATGAAGACAAAAAAATAGAGCACACTTTCAGCATGCCGCAATTTAATTTTGATAGCGTCAGAAACTTTTCTGTTTCAAAATGAGGTGTTATATATCTTATCAGAGATTGTATAATAGGTCTCCTTGTAAAGCTGACTTCTTCAGCTTGCCAAACAATTTTTACTGTTTGTGTCTTTACTTGCTTGTCTTCTTTTTTTGGTTTGTAGTTTAAGATGCAACTCATTTTGTGGTGCTATAACAATTTATTTGATTCAAAGACATGATTATTTAGACTCCCAATGATAATTATCATGCCTTATAAAAAAACTGCCATCTAATTACACTCTTTATAGATTATCTACTATTTATAAATACATAATGTGGAGCCAAATATATTTAGCCTTTCACGTATAAACATACACTTTTTTTTCTCAATATGACTTTTAAAATCTCAGCCAACGAACAAGTGCAGACAGGTTTAGTGCTCAGTATTTGTACAAGCAGTATATTTCACCCTCTCCAAGCAGACAGTGCTTTCAGTCGGAATTCAGAGCAAAGTGCATTCGTTTATATTTACCTGAGGCTCTCCATCTGTCTGTCTGTGAGGCTGTCCCGAGCACCCAGGTCAGTGAGACTTCTGGTCAGTGCGGTGCCTGGACTACCAAAGTGGTCAACACCGGCTCCACCAATTTCTCCACCCCAGGGTGACCTTGGACCATGAGTACCTTGGGAAGGGCTGATGAATAGCAATGTGTATGTATTATATGATATGTACATATGTCGTTATTGATAACTAAAATAACTCCTATCAGTTATGGGGTACGGTAAAAATTAAAACCCGGCTATCCTCAAAATTACTTTCATAGATAGAAGGTTCTATCAAATCCAGCAGTATAATATGACTTACATAGTACACATGCATTAAGTATAAAGACTGAGGCTGAAAACATACTTCAGGAATGTATCTATAGTATTCCTTGTTCGTTGGATAATCTTTCCTGTTCTCAAAAATAGAAACGAAAGTATTCACTATAACCACACACTGCTTTTTGACATACTTTCAGCATGGTTCAAACCAGCAGCAGGGAAAATTAGTTTTAGTCGAGTTCCACTCCTGCATAATCTTCAGACTATTCAATTCTACCATCTTCAAGGGTGAAGAATTTTCCTTTTCATGTAAATAAAATTAATTCTCCAAGTCGCATGCTATGCTTTCTCAATTACACGTTTTCAGGGGGGGGGGGGGGGGGAGGTATAGATCTAAAGAAAGGTCATAAATGTTCAAAAGCTCTCACTCTCAAAAAGACTTTCAATTGTACCCAAATGTGGTATGGAAAATATCTGCACACAAACTTACCTGAACCTAAAGTCTTTTGGAAGGGAGAAACCATGAATAAAATCTAACTTTGACTTCATCACTTGCTTTTTGAAGTCTTTCCTTGTGTTTCCATAGCCATTGAAGATGTGATCACAGAACAAGAGCCGCCCATCTGCATAAATCTGGAAACAAGAAGTAGAGAAAAGAAGTCAGGGTTGGAGACAGGAAGGAAAATATAAGATGAGTCAGTATTTGAGATGGGGCGCTCAGATAACTTTGTGCAGTATCTAAATAAAGGACACTTTAAAGGCTGTCAATATCAAGCTGGAGAAGTCAAAGAAGATACAAATAAAAGGACAATTGATTGTCTCTCACGTATACCTTAAAACATAGAAAATACAGGCTCTATTCTATCCACAAGTTGTTTGTGCATTCAAGTTAATTTCCGTTGAGTATCTTTTTCTCAATTCTCAAAAGTGAAAAGAAAAATTAACTTGTAAAGCCAAGAAAAGTTAACCTGATTTGAACTGAAAGCCCTCACCATCATCATCATCATTATCACTGCTGTCTCTATGATAGTCATTGTTGTCGTCTTTGTCATCAACCTCTTTTTCAGATGCTGTGATTCTTATTCATCTTGTGCACTAGCACTTGTACATGACTATAACCACCAGTTCTTCCGTTTCTCATCCAGCCTTTCATCTTCATATTCTTCCCACTCCAATTTTTTCTCAATCTATCTTCATTCACTGTATCATCAAAATGAAAATAAAAAGAACATCATCATCATCCAGTGCCAGATCCGAGACAGACATCGGTGATCATGGTTCTCCATTCATTCCTCTGCTCAGATGCTCTCAAAAAAGCTACGTTTCCCTGATCTTTCCCTGTTACCCATTTGTTTAGGGTCCCCAAGTAGATTGTTCTGGGCCTACCCCTGCCTCGTTTGCCTTCTATTTTGGCAGTGAGAGCAAGACGTTCAAGACCTTAAAAAGGACATAGACAGAGAAAAACCAAAAAGGTGTTTGATTCAGAAGGAAGGAAGAGTTTACCAGAAACATTCCCGGCACGACGTTGTGTCTCGTGAGCAGTAGAGGCTGAGTGTGGTCGGAGCCCTCCATGGCCGTGTTGATGTCGTATTTGAGGATTCGGAACATGTCGGACCGACACTGCATGCACGGTCTGGTGCGGTTACGGTTTTGGTTCTGATGGATCTGGTTGAGCATCATCTCTGCATGGTTGGTCTGAGGGTAGCTGTGGAAATGTTAAGGTAACTTTGTTATACATTGGACCCCCATAAAGGCACCAAAACTAACTTTGGTCACATTTCAGTTTGGCCAGAATACTGGTTTACAAACTTTTAATGGACACTACTTTCTCGTTGCTGGACTTCAGATAAGATAAGAAATACAGAGGAAGGAAAACGCAAAACCTCAAAGTGTGCTACATACTACCCTTCCCCATGTGAAACCTTTGGCAAACTTCTCCTGCATTCTCCCTCTTATCCTTATGATTATTCATGCCAAATTTATGAATGATGAGATCTATTTCTTTTAAAACAAAGAATCAACTCTTACAGCTACACCCCCTCCCTCACCCAAAACAAAAAGAAAAAAAATGAATAAAAAAAAAAAATGATTCCTCTTTTCTTATAATCAAGGATCATTAGCTCAGGTCAGGAAAGAAAATATGGTACACCCTCTCCTCTCCATTTTCTACACTGACACTTACAGTGAGGAGACCACCACAATGATCTGTAATTGATTCCGTGGGGCGGCCTCGGCCACGTAGCGCTCGTACTCTACGTCCGTGATGTATGGGATGCTGTGTCTGCTGCACCGACACTGGGGCCTCGCGTCAGACAGCATCTGCAGAGTCAACAAAACATAACCTGTCTTGAACTTCAATATGTTCTAATTACACACCCATATGTTCACTATTTACCCCACTGAACTTTTTCCTTTACTTCAGTGAATATGACAATGTTATAAAACAGGAGGAGTGAAATAGCACAATTAGATTAGAGAAGAGAAAAAAGAAGAACTGTATCCTGGACCAAACCAACTACAGTTGAAATTGTTCAAAACTGCCACAAATTGTTGAAAAAAGAAAAGTGGTTGTCTTAGACAGGTGGACATCTTGGACAGAGTCATTGTAAACTACAAAAAAAGCAAGAGAGGAATTGGGAAAGTGGCCATTTGTACAGGTGATTGTCTAAGACAGGTGGCTGTTAGAGCAGGTTTGACTGAAAATACAGTGATGAGGAAGAGAGCCATTGAGAGTAAAACTTGAAATCACAATCATGCCTTAGCAAGCACAAGTTCATAAATATCTAGTAAATTATACATGAAAAACGACAGAATATTGTAGAAAAGCTATTGCACTTTACACAATTCTAGCAGTTAGTGAAAGGAGTTCAGCAATGACCCACCTGCATGCGCAGAGCTTGAGGACAGTTGTTGAGATTTGCCGAGAGATTTTCTCGTTCAGGTAATGAGACAGCTGTGGGTTGTCGGGACACAGACTTTGTGGGACTACTGGCTGACTTGCTCCTCAGGGTGGATCTTTGAAGAGTAAAAGTCAATGTATGAAAAAAATGTGATTGCGACATTTTTGGGTGACACACAAGAGTCAAGGAAACAAGGCTTTTTGACATTGAGAAATTTCATATTTGAAATTGTATATTATTATGATTCCAAGTTTTCACAACTTCAGCATGATGGATAACATAGAATACTGTGTCATCATGTTTAAGTTTGATCTTTTAACAAATTGTTGAGTCTTTTATGTTATAAGTAAGAGCCAAAAAGCGTTTAATCTTCTCCATATATTAGAAAAGAAAAATAGAAATAGAGGACAGTGAACAGTGCAAGTTATTGTAAGAAGAACATTATTTGTAGTCTCCAGTCATATTATATTTCCATATTTTTTTTTTCAACAGACATTTCAAGTTTGAAAGATATGTCAATAAATGTATATCTCATATTCATTGTTTTTGTAACCCAAATTTCCTTATTCCTCTGTTCATTTTTATTCGATAAATGATTTATTATCTTCATTCAAGCTCCATGCAGTTTTCATTCAAATCATTCAATCTTCATGTGTCAACAACAGGAAAACAAATGACAGGCACAAAAAACATAAGAGATTGGTCTCATAATCTCTAACTGATGAGTTCTTTGTTGACTTAGCAAAGACCGACAAGCTCTAATTGCTGTTGACACTGTACTTGAAAAGAATGATGATGGAAGCACTTGACTAAAACTATTTCTGTTACAATGATATGACAGCTGTGCCAACGTTCATTTTAGCTGTTGATAAAGATACTGGAGCCCTTTACCAAATCAACTAGCAGTTGGCTTCAGTTTTCACACAAACAAAGCAGACACACCAGCATTTACAGTGTAGCTGTTAGGCACTTCGACAATGCAAACAGGAGATCCAGGTTCAATTCCTAAAGTGGAGAAAACTTTATCTACATAAAAAAAAAAAAATTTGACACTCACTCAGAGAATCGAGACAGTTTGTCACTCAATGTGGATGTGAAAGGGCGTCCGTCTTCCACTTCTTCCAGATCAATTTCAATATCGACTCCCTCTACTCGCTGATCAAATTTGACTGTTGGTGAGCCCGTGTTCCTGTTTGGAGAGGTAGCATCAGACCCAGCACTGCCACTTCTCTGCTTCATTACGGACGCTCCTGGGAAATGAGCACAAGATAACAATAAGGACAATAGCTCGTATTAATTCTCACATGCTTTGTTCTCAGATAAAGTAAGAGAGAAAAGGAGGGAGAGAGAAGGAGAGAGAAAGAGAGCAGGGTGATAGAGGGGAGAAGTAGAGAGAGAGAGAGAGAGAGAGAGAGAGAGAGAGAGAGAGAGAGAGACAAGGGCGGGGGAAACTTTGATTTGGTTTGAGTTCATCAACAACAGTCCACCTCTTCCGACTCTCTTTACTCCTAAAAGGTGCAATATACTGGCATAGGTAAACACAACATAATGCCAATTGTTTGGTTTAGTATATTGTTCACCAGCTGTTCAGATGTACAAAAATTAGCTTTTTGGGCTCAGAACATTTGTACAGTGTGCCAATGATATGACACTCACGTGAGGGCGCTGAAGGCACACGGGCAGTTCCAACAACAGAATCCTGTGCACTGATGCCAAGTGTGCTGCGCCGGTCCTCTCTCCCATCTGTTGTCTTAGCGGAGTAAGCACCCATTCGAGACTTGCGGGGCGAATCGCCAATATGTAGCAGAGTTGGTGACTTGAGGCCGATTGTAACTCGATAGTGCTCTAGCCAGTCATCTACTAGGTTTCTGAAAAAATTTGATCACCGAATACAATAAGAATAAGAGGTGAAATTATTGCTGGTGTAAAAATGGGGCTGTGTGGGGTGGGGAGGGTGTCTTAACCTAGCAAAATTTAAGAAGTTGTACAGGGTATCCAAACAGACATGTCATTCATTAAACAGAACACTAACTTTTGTAAAATAAATCATAAGTCTGAAACATCTGAGTTTCTGAGTAGGACAATGCAATCTAGTGTAGTGGTATACTTCCAGTCATCAGAACAATTGCCACATGTCATCAAGAACAAATAAGGAAAGCAGCTACATAGAAAAGGAGCAGAAGTGGTAGACTAAATCAGAGATTCCTAGAATTCCAGGGCTTTTCACAACTGTGACACCTCTAGTCTTTTTTTTATGATAGAAGAGTTCCAATAAATCATGCAAGAGTTTCCTCTAGGTAAGAAAAAAATTGTTGAATAGTAAAAACAAGAAATATTATTCCAACAAACAGGGCAAGTATAACAGGAAAAAACCTGTTTTCTTCTGCTGTGGAATTGGTTTCAGACAAGTTTATAGATTTCAACAATTTAATTCATCTGGTGAAAGTCAGAGACAATATGCAGGGAAGAAACATAATACATTAAAAAAATGTAAGTGTACAGTGGGTTTCGCTACAAAGCATTTCAAACATCCATGCAATGGAAGGAATAACCAAATATTCAGAGTCACAGCCCACCATCACAGCCCACCATCACAGCCCACACCTTCAACTCACCTGGCCTTTCTCTGAAGCCTGGCCAGCTCCTTGTCAGATTCCAAATCATAGATAAGTTTCTCCTGGTTGTCCACGGACCGCACAAGCTCTGCCAGCTGTTTGGTCATCTTTTCTTGCTATGAAAGAAAAAAAAGAAAAGAAAAAATATCATCTTATGTATCCTTTAAGAAAAGTTTTTTCTTTTACAATAACACCGACAAAGACCTACACAAAACTTTACACAAACTTAGGAAACTCTGAAAGGACAAACTCATACAAACAAACACACATAGGCCCATCATAACAGTTCTTGGTCCTGATGTTCACTCTGTGAACTTCAAAGGCAGGGTTAACAAGAGACTGAAGAAATATGATCATCAAGACAATATTACATAATTGTTGCAGTTACATCAAGATCCTAAAGATTATTATTCTATAATCACAAAGCCAAAGTAATACAAGCCTACATATTGTGTAAAAATATGCATCTTTGCCCGAACTTATGTGCAAATGCAGGCCACAAGATTCAAGTATACATATAAATTGTATTCAAAATCTGTGAGGGTATTCAAATATCTCTGCATAATATTCTTTGGCTTACCTTTTTCCGCTTTGATTTTGATTTCGTTTTTGGAGCAAACAATCTCAGTAGATCTTTCGCTGCTTTTGATGAGAATGTGAAGGTTGTGAGCAGCTGATCCTGAAATGAGAATAAAATAACATGAGTATATATTTCCATAGTTTTCGCGAAATGTGTACAAAATGAATAAAATGGATGTCTGTACACTGCAATGTACACAGCTTCATGCAGAAAATGTAGAGTAAGAATCACAGAATCAAGCTCAAAAACACATTAAAATTTTTTTAAAGGAGCCATTGGTTGTTTATTGTTGCAATCTTGATTATCAACTTATATACTCCCCTACCCCTCCACTGTGCATGTGCATGTGCGTGTGCGTTTGTGTGTGTGTTTGTGAGGGTGTGTTTGTGTGGGTGTGTGTGCGTATGTGTGTGTGCGAGTGTGCGCATGTGTGTGTGTGGGTGTGCATATGCGTGGGTGCATGTGTGTCTGTGTGTGTGTTTGTTTATGTGAGTGTGTGTTTCTGTGTGTGTGTATGTGTACGTGCATGCAAGTGTTCTGCATTTGTGTGCACGTGCGTGAGTGCATGTGTGTCTGTATGTGTTTGTTTGTTTGTGTGTGTGTGTATGCGCGTGCATGTGTTCTGTGTTTGTGCAACTGGACAACAAAGATTTATCCATCTATAAAGCCAAGAACTATGAGAAAGCCTACATTTTCATCAGGCTTCACATCACAGGCCCCTGGGGTGGCGCTGACAAAGAACCGAGTCGACTCCTTCTGGCAGGAGAACAGGATGATGATGTAATTCTCGGAGACACAGCGGAAGCCCAGGTGTTGGTTCATCTGAAACACACAAACATTTAAGTAGTGAGTACATTTTTTTCTTTTTACAACTGGTCTTCAAGTTCGAGTTTGAGCTAAAAAGAAGCACATCAACACAATGACTATAAATTGGTTTAGGGAAAAAGCAGACTGGCACCCAGAAAAATAATAAAGGAAAAGGCCCCAGCAGTGGCATCTCCATAACTGCCACCAGTATAGAAGCACGGCTGTATTAGACAAAAGACATTTTGGAAGGCAAACTTCACACTGTGGGCTTTTGAGGGTTGAAAGAACATCATGATAAAAGATGGACTGGAGTCATGACATCATGTCTATGCCAAAAAGGATGTGATATAGAGTAGCTCCCTTCCAACAGCGGAGTAGTGCTCCCTGTAAGAGAGACGGTAAACTATTTACATTTACCGAGCCACCAATATTAAAGATGTCATCATCATTGCGTTTCTCACCCTGCATTAAGGTATAGGCCACGAACAAATACACTTATAAAAGATGTAAAGAACTCAAAAAGGATCATCAAACTAACATAATGTCCACCCTCTCACCTGAAAGCTGACAGGAGATGTAAGCTTAACCTGGGCCTGGGGCCACTTCCAGTGACGGATGATGCGGCCTTCTCTGTTAGCGATGTGTCCTCCCTTGTGAGTAGAAAGGAACCTGAAGAAGAAGAAGAATAGATTCATACAGAGAAAGAAAAAACAACTTCCAATATTTCTCCAATGGAGAACTTGTAAAACCTTCACAACCCGATTTGGTCACATTTATACATCTGACAACAGATTATCGCAATTCTGGCTTCAGAGGTGCCTGGGAGGAGCATTCTCCAGCAGCTCAACGATGACAAAAAAAGTGATAAGTGTACACTTAAGATATAGACCTGAACAATGCTAAAGGAATGCTATTAACCTTTACCCAAAAAGAACAACACTTTGCCATTGTAAACATACAGAGAATGTACAAGAAAAAAGGTCTGAAAGCACCGACTTGATCTTGTCAAAGGAGATCTGTTATAGGCTTAGCACCTTTTGTCTGGCTGTTCTCTAGCAACTATACAAGTGTTAAAGTACTATGTTTTTCTCCCTCACCTGATGTTCCCGTTCATGTGATAGCAGACCCCCCGACCACTTGGAGTGAAGGTCGCCAACATCCTCATATCAGGATCGTCGTCATACACGATAGTGTAGTAGCCTGGACGTCCAAAACCTGCAGCAGACGCAACGACCGCTGGCCGACCTGATGGGTAACTGGGCAGTTGGTTAAGGAATGGGTTCTTTTATCTCCTTTAGTTTCTACTTACACCAGGATTTATTATTACAGTTACTACTGCTAAAAACATGTAAAAAGGCAAAGGTAAACAATAACAGCTGGATGCTTGTTGAAGTAAAAGGGAAAAAGCCAAAAACCTGTTTCAAACAATATTTCTGCTCCCCCATCCCCCCCCCCCCCCCCACCCCAGCCAAAGAGTCCTCTCCCCTCCCCTCACTCTCAAGGAGTCCTTCAAAAAGTCTGATCTTTGCCTTCCATGAAATGACTCACAGGACACAGTGTGTCAAAATCATCAGAGTAATCAGATTATGGCCCAAAACATAATATTAAAAAATATATTTGAAGATCTGCAAGGCTTTCTTTGTATAATGTTTAAAAAAAAAAAAAGCAACTTATAATAATATTACATCAAAGTCCAACCAAGCAAGAGCTATCACTTTACTTGTCCCTCTCTCCAAGATCATAACCATACATGCACGCTCGTATGACCTTATGCAGTTGCGAGCGTTGTAAAACTTTTAATAAACTAAACTAACTATACATGACGAAAATCAAGTGCTAGATCTGAAACAGACATCACTGTTCATGGTTTGTCACTCTTTCCTCTTGATCTTTCATAAACCATATGTGTGACATCGTGGTGAAATAAGGTGCTTGTCAAAATAATGAAATAGAAGAAACTGGCATTTTTCTGTCCGTTTGGTAATTTTTATCGAATTTTTAATTTTCGACTCAATTCCTCTAGAGTCCATTTAAAAACATAGTTTAGGGAGGATTTTACTGAAAAAAATGTTGATTTAAGGCACGAAATATAAATTTTCAGTTTTCAAAGACTCTCAAGCTTCGGAAGTTGCCAAACTTTGGCAGACATTTTCTCACTAATTTTACAAATGAAACATGCGACCCCCACCTCCTTCAATCGCAAATACCTCGACTTCTTTTTATGATATATGGGTACTTTTCCCCCCAAAAGCAAAACAAATGAACACCCTTTAAAATTATACCATTAACTCCATATGTCCAAAAATTGACGAACGCCTCATGATTCCACCGCATCCTGACATATATATGTTATCCTGGTGCTCTCCCATCTCCTCATCTGTTCAAGTTACCAAAGTAATTCTTTTTTAACAGCATAAACATTCATGACAGAAATCAAGGATACTATGCAACCATTGTGCCGTCGATGTGACATGTCTTCATGAGTTGCTTCCCCTCATTCGAGTCGTCGTACATATGCGGTATGCGTGGCTTCAGACCCTTCATGCTGTTCATTGAGGCATTCTGGCTCGTCCTCACCGGAGATTTACGGTACTTCAGAAGGGTCTCTTTCCTCGTGTCACCATAGTAACGGACAACAACAGGGTTGTTGTACCCCATCTCAATCTCATGGGTTCGCTGCTCTTTTCTGAAACAACACATAGTTTTTAGTTGAATAGAGGACTTCAGAGGTTATTTCTAATTTGCTCTAGACATAAAACTACATTTACACAACCAGTCAAACTAAGGAGCTTGAGCTTCATAAAAACAGTCTTCTGCATGTGTAGTATATTTAATTTCATTCACAACAAAACAACAAAGCAATAAAATCTTAAGATAATGATTCGCAATTCAGAATAACTCATTAATTTGATGACAATAAAGTTCTCTGTATGGCTGTTCACAATTGCACAAGACTTCACCCAGGATCAAGAAGTTTGGAATGTATATAACAAATCAAATACAGTCTAACCTCCTCTAACAGCCACCTGTATAAGACAATCACCTGTACTAAGGGCCACCTCCTATTTCTTCCCTTGCGTAAATTCTTTTTTACATTATAATAACACAGTGTAAAGCAGCCACTTGAATAAGACAACCACTTTTCTCCTTGAAAACAGGTAGGCGTCTTTGACAATTTCAACTGTATTTCGATGAAGCTATTATCTTATGGCATTCTAAACAAGTGTGAGAGGACACCTGAGCGTTTGTGAGAGCCAGCATAACTGTGAATGTGTGCTAAAATGTGAAACTGAGTGTTTTGTAAGCGTGCATATGTATGTGTGTGAGTGTGTCTTGACAAGTGTTTCCTTGCATTTGTTGACAGGGTGTTATGTGTCTGTGTGCATGATGGTAAGTGTATATGAGTTTCAACACGAGAGAGCATGTTGTAAGTGTGAGTGTGTGTACATGATGACTAATTCATCTGTACAAGTTTACGAACGTGCATGAACGGAGCATGTATTTGTGTGTGTCAGAGTCTGTGTGTGTGTGTGTGCGTGTGTGAATGTGTGTGTATGTGTGCATGTGCATGTGAGTTTGTATGTGTGTGTGTGTGTGTGTGCGTGTGTGTGTGTGAGTGTGTTTGTGTGCGTGCATGTCTATGTCTGTGTGTTTTGGTGTGTGTGTATGTCTGCATGAGAGTTTGTGCGTGTACATGTGTGTGGGTGTGTGTGTGCGCAATGGTATTTAGCATGTTTTTTTGTATGCGAGAGCGCGCCTGTGTATGTTACACTCACATGTCTTTAAGAGACTGTAGGAGCAGCTGTAGACACCATTCCATGATTGCCTCTTTGGCTAGCTCTTCCTCTCGGCCTTTCTGCACTATCCAACCTGGCGAAAGAGAAAGAAACACACGTATTGACACAAAGTACAGAAAACACATACAACACTTCTGAATGCTACTTTGGTATGCACATACCAGTGTTCACTAAGCTATTACTTGTGGAAAGACATCCAGCCCTTGACAGGATTGTAATTGCAGCAACCTGTCATTTCTTTCACATTGAATTCATTCATTAGTTTTTCTTGTTTCAGCTAGGAAAAATTTAGTAGAAATTATCATTTATTGACATGCACTCTTTATTTGAAAAAAAATTGGAAATCACAAAAAAACAACAACAGAGGAAAGCAAAAGAAAACCCTCCTTTGGTTCCCAAGTGAAGAAAGGTTTTATCGAGCATCTTTGTTTGTCTGCGGGAATGTTGAATCCTACTTAGCCTAGTCAACCCTCACAGATGGGGTCACGGCATCCCAACTCCTGAATCATTGTAACACTATTGATGGAGCAGAGCCGTAAGACATTTTTGATACAAATACAACAAGTATGAAGGTTGTATTTAACTCATAGAGGATACGCATTCTGACAATTCAGCAACGCTCGGGCACATTAAAAGAGATGTATATAACTGCCTACGAAGGATAGTGGGGATCAAGTGGTACGATCGAGTCACTATGCTCAACGGTGGGAAAGAACAAGCCAAAGGCCAGTAAAGGAAAACATACAAGTGAAGAAATGGAAATGGATAGGACACACCCTGAGGAGACCCCTGACAAGCATCATCAGGCAGGATTGAACGTGGAACCCACAAGGAAAACGTAAGAAGGGAAGACCAAAGATGACATGGAGGCGAGCGGTACAAGCGGAAATTGAAAAAGCGGGGACATAAAGGAAACAGATAGGAAAAGATGCTCAGAACAGGCTTCGCTGGAGTAATGCTGTTGACGGTCTGTGCTCCACTGGGAGTTAAAAAAGGTGAGAGAGATATATAACTGCATTATTCACAAACACCTTTCTATTCTGTTCGTTTATTTCGTTTGAAACTTAAATAGACAAGCAACAACAAGCATACTATAATACCTTTCGTCTTTCTGAAGTGTGAATGATGGTTCAAAATGTGCTGCAACATCGGCTTTTGTCTGCTGCTGATCAGACAAATGGGAGTGGGTGGTTGGCGGGTGCTCTGGTGTGGTCTGTTCCTTCTTTCTATCAAACATCTATCGTCCTAATCACTCCTTCTTTTTTGAGTTTGTTACTCTCTTGTAACACCTCTAATTTTCGGCACTTATATGACCTTCTTGTGTTGCAAGTGCCGAAAAACTCTTACGAAAACTAAACTAAAGACATATGGGTCTGTTATGTTAGTGAAGAGTTAATAGTGGGGGAGGTTTGAATGTTGTCTGCTTACCTTTCTCCTCGCAGGCCTTGGAGGACAGCTGGAACTGTATCACAGACATGTAGTAGGACGGGTTGGCCATCGCTGTGGCTGCAGGACAGAACGGGGGAAAAAACAGTAAGTGAAACAGTTATCTTTATTATATGTGGTGAACTCAGGCGCTGGTCAAAATAGTGAAAACAAAAAAATCGGCATTTTCGGGGGGCCGTTGGGCAATTATTTTCTAATTTTCTTTTTTTTGGCTCAACACCTTTTAAATCCATTTAAATTCACATTCTTTGTGTGGATTGTACTGGAAAAACATTGATTAAAGGCACAAAAAATGTAAGTTTTCATTTTCCAAGGACTCTCAGGTTATGGAAGTTACCAAACTTTGGCAGCAATTTATTCACTAATTTTACCTTCGAAACCAGGCGACTCTGACTTCCTTCAATTGCAAATATCTCTGCTTCTATTCAAGATAGATGGGTATTTTTTTCACCAAAAGGAAGGCAAATGGCAGGCTTTAAGATAATACCAATAACCCCATATGGCAAAAAAATTACGAGCGCCTGATTCCACCACGTCGCAACACATGTATTAATTTATCTAATTGTGTATTTCGACTGCTTAGTGTAAGGCTCCGCCATACGTCATTTTGAAAAGTGATGTATGACGAAGTATGTTATAACACTGAGCAGTCGACTTATTCTTTCTGTATGCGTGGAGGTAGGGTGAGCGTGTATGAGTGTGTGCGTGTGTATGTGTGAGTATGTGTGTGTGTGTATCTGTGTGTATGTGCCTGCGTGTTTGTATGTGTGTGTGTGTGTGTGTGTGTGTGAGTGGTGTGTTTGTGCGTGTGTGTGGGTGCGTCTGTTTGTGTGTGTATGTGTGGGTGTATCTGTGTATATATATATATATGTGTGTGTGTGTGTGTGTGTGTGTGTGTGTGTGTGTGTGTATGTGTGTGTATGTGTGTGCATGTGTGTGTGTGCGTGT